GCAACCCGGCCCCCGGCTCAAAAAGGTTGCCTACCCCTGGTTTAGAACCTTGGATAGTTCATTTAAAGGGAAGACAAAAACATAGATTAGATTCACAACCCCAGTGACATAGTATCCACCAGCTGCCAATGGGTTTAATCTTCATTATTGGTGCTGAAGGAGCTTATACAGTAGTATGCAGGGCAGTCCACAGGTCTCACTGTCTTCTCGCAGCATGCCAGCACTCTCTGCCCCCAGCAACTGACACCAAGGCATCTGCCTCATTTTACCTAATAGTAAGGATGGCATCCGGTATGCAGGAGGACTGACCCACAGCTTATTAAAACAGAAATCTTTTTCTCTGGAGAAATCTTATCTAATATGGTACCCTGCAGACATCTTAGACTGCAACTCCCACCATCTGGAGCCAATACAGCCATGCTGACTGGAGAATGGGAGTTGTAGACTAACAAATTTGCAAGGCATCAAGTTAAGTAAGGCTGTAGTAAAAAGAAGATGATGATGATTAGAGTAGCTGTAACACCCATAGACAATGTTTTTGCTATTATCCTGCTTTTCAGTAAATATTCCTGCTCAAAATAGTGTGTTATAGAGAGTGCAAAATTAGATGATAACAATTAAGAAACAAAACAAAGCATCACAATACAGTCATCCTGTCTTAAAACTATGGGCTACAGTCTTCAGATATAACAGTGGAAAAAAAGTCACATTTTCATTCATACATCCTTGGGTTGGTTTATTTATTTATTCTTTTAAAAAATATTGTGTTTTATTTGACATCTGTTTCTCTGTACAATGGATGTTATGTGGCCATGCCTTTGAAATGTGGAGCTTTTGCATTTAGTGGAGAAATGAATAAACATTGGGTGAAATCCAACATTTCTTAAGCAAACTTCTGCTCCTGCAATGGAACATTTCCATTCTCCCCTTCCCTCCTGCAAGACCTCATTGCCCCCCAAATCTGCTCTGAATGGTTTCCTAACACTCTAGAGAAGACCTGGGGGAGAAAGAGGGATCATTCCCCTCCCCATTCTGTTGATCAAATCCTTCTGTTGATGGAGCGTCACCACCAGGACTTCCTCCTGGAATGTTTCCTAGGTTTTTGTTTTAAAACCAACAATAAATAAAACACTAAAATCTGCTTTAAACATAGAATACTCAAAATTCACTTGAAGTACCAAAAGAAGGAGCACTGCATATCTCATTGGGGGAGACTTTCAAAAAGTTTGTGCTGGCACCAAAAAGGCCTCATATACGGTACCCAATTGTCATAAATCCAGTAGTAAGTGGCAAGAAAGTAGGATTTTCAAGCTGATCTTAGGGAGTAGAGCTGATATCAGGGGCTAACATTGTTGGGCAATTGCTCACACTCCATTAGGAGACCCAGTGCTAGTCCCAGGCAATTTCTGACCTTATCACATTTTTCCTGTTGTTGTATGTTCTGCTTTAGTCCAAATGAGAGGCATGAGGAGAAGGAACCATATGATTTGCCTCTCCTTTTGGGCGCAATACACTTCACCTTCCATGGAAAGAGGTAAAAGGGAATAGGTGTATGGGCAATGAGAACAGACATAAGGAAGAGGAAGAGGCAAGCCCACAGAAGAGAACTTGCCCAAGGGTTCTTGAAAACCTGGAACCAGCACTGAGAATGCAAGTTAATACTGAAGAACATGGGCTGTTTCCACTCTGCAGGATTAATGCAGTTTGGAGCCAATTTAACTGCCATGGCTCAATGCTATGAAATTCTTGGATTTGTAGTTTGTTGTGGCACCAGAGCTCTCTGACAGAGAAAGCTAAATATCTCACAAAACTACAAATCCCAGAATTCCATAGCATTGAGCAATGGCAGTTAAAGTGTTGTCAAACTGCAGTAATTCTGCAGTGTAGATGCAGCTATAATCACTGACTAGACTCTTAAAGTCTTGACAGTTGCTCTGCAGAGCTTTTGGGGTCATATGGACTGGAGATTCTGTGAAGCTGTAATCCCAAAAATTAACTTTCTCAAGCTGTAGTCTAATGTCAGCACTTTAAACCAAGGTCACAAACAAACTGGTGATCAATGCAGTTGGTAACAGGTCTAGAGAAGTGCCAGCACCAGCATCTGGCATCCTTGGGCAACTGCCCGGTCTCTTGGACCCTGCCAGATCCAGAGCCCGCTGCTGATGCTATCCTGGTTCCCATATGTCTATATCTATTTACTACTCAAAGCACCAAGAGGCTGGATCTAGCCAATCTTTTAATAACCAAAATGACTGTTAAAATTGTGACTAACATCCATCCACCTGGTGTTTTTAAGAGAGTTGCCACTGTGGCCAAGTGAGACCACCAAGTGACATTTTGGACCAGGGCTCCTCAAATGCAGCCTAGTCCTGGATTGGAATTATACAAGGTTCATACCATGCCTTTTTCATGATGATTGTCTGAAGGTAGCTTTGCCTATGGACAGGTTATGAAGCTTATCACACAGTTAATTAAATAGCCTTACCTGATCCGGCTTAAATTTTAAATCTGGCTGCATCAGGAGCCTATCACAAGCCACCAAATTTGCCACCCAAATGAAGCCCAGGTCCATCCCCACTCCCTGGGCCACTCAGAGCAGCTTTTTTGAAAAGCCGGGAGTTTTCCAGCTTGAGAAAATGGCCGCCAGAGAGGCCCTGGGAGCAAGGATGGACATGGGTGGCAATTTCAGCGGCTAAATGCTTGTGATAGGATTCAGATGCAGCCTAATTTAAAATATAAACCGGATCAGGTAAGGCGATTTAATTAACTGAGTGATAAACTCCTATGTCTTTCAGCTTGACTTATCAGGAACCATTGCATGTGTCTGTACTAGCTTAAGAGCTATAGACTTCTCAGTTAGAAGAAAATTCACATTAAGATCGAAAGGCTTCCCCTTGAATATATTCAAGATGAAATGAAAGGGAAACAATATAATATAAGAAAGCTTTTCATTTCTCACAATAATTGCCAATGAGAGAGGTGCTCCTGAGGAATACATTTCATCAGGTTAGGGGTGGTAACTTTCCTTCTTATGTGTCTCTTTGCCACTGACTAGGACTTTGCTGAGTTAGCACTTCCCTACAAAAATATAAATTTTACTTGCCTCAAGGCTAGTGAGAGAGACAGCGTAGTGTAGTGGTTTGAGTGTTGGACTATGACTCTGGAGACCAGGGTTCAATTCCCAGCTCAGCCATGGAAACCCAGTGGGTGACCAGGGTGTGTCACACTCTCTCAGTCTCAGAGAATGGCAATGGCAAACCCACTCTGGAGAAACTTGCTAAGAAAACCCTGTGATAGGTTTGCCTTAGGGTCACCACAAGTCAAAAATGACTTGCAGCCACACAACAACAAGGCTAGCAGTGGGGCAAATTTCATTTTTTTCGCACACATCTATACATTTCTGAGGTTTTCAGTGCAATTTGGCAAAGAAAAAACGGGCACAGAACATGTACATTTTAGAAATGTGAATGACTACAAATTATATATATAAAACAGACACACTTTATTCTCTGGGGAAAATGTAAAAATGTAGGTAAATTCATAAAAATGCAGACATTTTGACAAAGAGTGCATGAAAAATACAAACTTCTGAGCAGGGAGGACAAAATGAGATGGGACAAGGATGCTAATGGATTTCAGAGCAACACAGCCAAAATGGGACTGATAGAATTTTTGCATTCAGGTTGCTTATCTCTCTGACAAGGCTGTTAGGAGAAAAGTGAAAGTGCTGTTTTTTTAAACCCTATAGCAGGGGTAGGCAACCTAAGGCCTGGGGGCCGGATTTGGCCCCCCGAAGCCTTTGGACCAGCCCCAGGCCAGTCCTGCCGCCGCCGCCGTCCCCCCACCCGCCATGATGATTTTTCTTGGCAAAATCTCCACAGAGGTTTTGCCATGGCTTTTCAGGGGTTGAGAGAGTGTGCATGCATATTTTTTATTTTTTTTAAAAAATATTTTTATTTATATTTAATTAATTAATTACTTATTTTTGGTGCTTTGGCCCCCCAATCGTCTGAGGGACAGCAACCCGGCCCCCAGCTCAAAAAGGTTGCCTACCCCTGCCCTATAGTAACTTAGAATATAATGCTTTCCCTACAGACGTACAATGGTCCTATCCTGTCCTATCCATACAATCTTTATTGATTGATTGATTGATTGATTGATTCCATTTCTTGAGTGTATTTTTTTAAATAGACATCTTTCAAGTAAAATTGGGGTCTCATAAAAAAACTGATTCCATTTTAATTATGATTTTTCCCCTGACATTTTTGAATATTTTCTGAAATTGGGTGTACACTGGTCCTTTGGCATCATACCCAAAACATGGCAGCATTTGGCCTGTGTACATGAGACACATTACTGACATATAGTTTAAGTCTGTATATTTGACCTATATCCCTAATTCACATTGGCTCTGAGAACTAATGTGGCTGCCATTCTGTAAACTTGCATTGGAAGTATTGGAATACTTCCAATTGGAATTGGAATTGGAATCCAAACATTGGAATACAGACAGCACCACATTTAGTCAGATACAATGGAAATTCATCCACCAGTTTCCTGATATGCCTACTAATTTTACATTTGACAGGAATGGAACCTAGTAATCCATAAATGTTTATCAAAATAAACATACTTTAAGATGCAACAAAAGTCCTAATTATTTCTGATGCAAAAACAGACTAGCATAACTAATGCTTCTAAAATCCAAATTATTATGGTGCTTTGGCCCTCACATTTCACCTCTTGGTGCAAGGAACTCTACGATTAGTAGTTTTTGTAAGCATATCACAGAGGGAACCACAAATCTCTCTGTCTCTCACTGAACTGATCTGAGTGTCACAGTAAGCCAGGGTTCCACAGGAATCCTGGCTTATCACATACAAGCAAAGTAGTGGTGCACACTGCCCACGTGGATCAATCGATTACAGACCTTTGGATCATCAAGAAAAATAGACCTATGAGGCACTGGCTCTCTGATTTGTCTCTTGCCTGGACTAGCCAGAGAAATAACTTATGATTTTTTGCATGGTTATTTTATCCAGTTTATTGTGAACACAGTTCCTGTGGATTATTGTAAATGATGGACTAAGGACCATGGACTAAAGTTCAGGATGGGTAACAGTTCACAGAAAAAGAAAGCCAGTGTGGCATAGTGATTTGTGTGTTGGACTATGGAGACCAGGGTTTCAATCCCCGCTTGGCTATGGAAACCCACTGGATAACTGTGGGCAAGCCACACTTTCTCAGTCTCAGAAGAAGGCAAAGGCTTCTCTGAACAAATCTTGCCTAGAAAATCCCATGATAAGGTCCCATTAGCATTGTCATAAGTCAGAAACAACTTGAAGAAGACAACTACAAAAATCCACAAATACCTACTATTTAAAATCTCAAATCTAAAAATTACATAATTACATGTCTAAATTTACAATGTCTGAACTCATCAGTTCAAATTATCTGTTAAAATACCCTAAAATCAAACAGCAGCTGTCAAAAACAAATGCATCACTTCTGTGATTGTATTCCCTGAAATTGCCTGTCTGGGGAAATGCTATACCATCCAGAACAGGCTGCCTGCCTAATTCCTGGACCTGGAAATCAGATTTTTAAATTTGTTTGCTTGTTTGTTATATTTATATCCTGTTTTTCTTCCAGAGAGCTCCAGGTAGCACACATTTTTTCATTCCCTCGCATTTTATCCTTGCAGCCATCCAGCAAGGTAGATCAGGCTGAGAGAGAATTACTGGCTCAAGGACCTTTTCTTTCCATCAGACTTTAGGAAAATGACCTAGCTTGCATTGGAATATGTTTTTAGCCACAGTAGGGAATTCTTAATGTTTTTATTCATTTTATGTACTATGTTATTGTGAGCCACCTTGAATATCCCTGCATGGCAGAAAGGTGGAGTGTAAATTAAATAAATAAAAAAGTAACCCAAGAACATCAGGAATGAGGGTGTATCCATACTCCAGAATCAAATCAGTTTAACACCATTTTAACTGCCATGACTCTGTCCTACAGTATCATGGGAATTTGTTGTTTTGATGAGATATTAAACTGAGTTTGTCAAAAAGCTCTAGTCTCTGATTAAATTACTAGTCCTAGGATTCTGTAGGATAGAGTCATGGCAGTCAGTGGTGCTGCTTTAATTCTGTAGTGTGGCTAAAGCCTTAGTTGGGTCTTGAACTGGGATATCCCAAATTCTGGTCCAACACTCTAACCACTATGTTACACAGTTTCTTGTGGGTGGTGAACACCAGTATTTGTTAATTATGAAATATATGAAAAACTGTTTTGTTATACAGTACAAGCAAATACATCTAATTCACACCTTTGAACCAGAAAGCCAATGTGCAACCCAGTGCCACCCATACCACACCTGATCTGATTGTTAAGTTCCTTTAAGCAGTATTACTCAATTGCATATCTTTGTCCATGTGCAAAGTCATAAGATGGAGGCCAGTGCTGGTCTGGTAGAAGCAAGTGTGAAGTGGTGACAGTCAACACAAACAGTTCTTCTGGAGTGGCTAGGTCAGGGGTAGGCAACCTTTTTGAGCCGGGGGCCGGGTTGCTGTCCCTCAGACAATTTGGGGGCCGAAGCACCAAAAATAAATAAATAAATAAATATATTTTTTTTAATTAAAAAATTTTAAAATTTTAAAAATATATGCATGCACACTCTGTCAGCCCCAGAAAAGCCATGGCAAAACCCCTGTGGAGATTTTGCCAAGAAAACCCCAAGAACAAGTAATAACAACAATAATCAATATCATCATGGCGGGCGGGGGGGCGGCGGCGGCAGGACCGGCTTGGGGCCGGTCCAAAGGCCTCAGTGGGCCGCATCCGGCCCCCGGGCCTTAGGTTGCCTACCCCTGGGCTAGGTAATAGGGGACTAGAGTAAGATTCATACTAGCCAGTTTGAGAGATTTAAGGTACACTATTTACACTAAGTCCATCCCAAGACATTTTGCCTCCTGAGTTAAAGGACAAAATAGTGCCCAGTCCACATTGACAAGTTTCAGTGCTGACAGTACAATAGTGTCCTCTACTATTACTGACAGCATAGACTAGTTTAGGGGCTCAGGACAGGTTGTGTGGCATATGTTCTCTGGACGTTTTCACACAGGCGGCTCTAAAGCCGCCTGGAAGCCCCCTGGAAGCCATCAGGAGTCATTCCGGCGGCAAAAACAGCAGCCACCGGAATGACTCCTGATTGCCTCCGGCAGAAGCGCCTGTAATTCCTTTTTAAAAAACGAATTAAAAAGATGGGGCTAAAGCCGGCTAGCGGCAGGGATGGCGCAGGGATTGCGCAAGATGGGGTGGGGCTTGCTGCGACGTCGTATGAACACGACGAGCAAGACCCCGGAGTGAGGCAGGGATGGCGCAGGGATGGCGAAGGATGAGGAGGGGCTTGCTGCGACGTCGTGTGAACTTTTCCTGCACAGAGCCGGAGTGGGGCCGGATGGAGGTAGGAATGACTCCCTTTTTTGCCCCGTGTGAAAACGTCCTCTGACAGAAGGAAACAGCTCAAGAGGAATGGCTAAGAGGCTATCATTGCTGCCCCCACAGGATCTGCTGCCCAAAACATCTGTTGCTTTCCTTTGCCTACTGCCAAGCTAGTCCTAGGTATGGTGCATTGTCTGCTTCACCAGCCCCAGCAGCATCATATTAAGAATGAACAGATCTACAAGTTTGGCCATCAAAATGGAAATCATAAAAAAAGTAATCCCGAAATGCATTTTGGAAGAAGCCTTCAAGTAGTCTGTAGAAGGTTCAGAATAGTTCTATTTAATTATGCAAGGCTTACCAGTCTTGTTGTTTCATTTTGTTGTTGGGTTTTCTTGGCCAGATTTGTTTAGAGGGGGTTTGTCTTTGCCTTTGCCTTTTTTTGAGGCTGAGAGGATGGGACTTGTCCAAGCTCACTCAGTGGGTTTCCATGGCTGAGCTTGGATTCAAACCCTGGTCTCCAGTGTTCTAGTCCAGCACTCAAACCACTACACCACACTGGTTCTCTGTTTCATTTTACATGTGCACATTGTAGTTTTGAATTGGAAGCTTGTTGAAACATGTTGAAATCTCCTCCTCCTCCTCCTCCTCCTCCTCCTCCTCCTCTTCTTCTTTTGTGGTATAGGACTCTGTCCCTATTATTTCCATGCTATTTATGCCTCTGGCACAAAATTGTCTGTAAAAGAAGTA